TTAGGTGAACGCCGTATATTCCGTAGTATCTATTACGTTAACGATACCCTCGAAAGAAGGCCCGGCTTTAGCCTTAAGACGCGCTTCCGTTCGCTATATTAGGCGGTCTAAAAGGATTACCTCCGATATAGATATAAAGGACGGAAACTAGTCTATAAGAGCTTACTTTTTCTCTTCTAACTACTCGTCCGTCTATAGTATCTCTCTTAAGAGGTTAGCGATAGACGATATACTAGCGCGGAGTTTACGACTATCGACGAGATACGCTAGCTTCTACCTAGATAGGACAGGTATATACATATCTAGAGGTAGAGGGCACCTTCGGAATAGACGACTGAATTCGCGTTCTAATTCCTAGACGGCCTACTTATCGATAAGCTCGAGAACGATATATGCCCTACTTCCGGGGGCTAGTTTCGTTATAGGCTTGTCGATAGCCGGCGCTAGAGGGAATAGAGGGAAGAGTTCGGGATTATATACGCTATAACACTACTCCTTTAGTACCTCGGTGCGCTCTACGCCGGCGGGTAAGAGGTCTTTACTAAGCACGCGTAATATAACGCGACGATGATAGTCGCTATTTACTATCTCTTTAAAGGCGGGAGGTATCCTCTTTCGGGATTCTACATCTTATAGTAACTAGGTTCTCTTATTCTAGATACTAGTTATAAGTAAAGGAGGCTAGGATACGGCTAGGAGTATTAACGGTAGCGGTATAGGTGTCGACTAGGGATGTATTAGCTACGAAGAAGACAATCGAGCCGAGGTCGACTATAACGGCGTAATTAGATATCGGCCGGCCTATAAAGGTGTCTACGGCACCTAAGTAGGCGTAATTAGCGGTAGTAGGATAGGATTAAATAGGGTAGATGCTAGCGTTATATACGGAAGGGGATGCGTCGATAATATAGGCGTCGACTAGATAATAGCGCCGGAGTTTGTTATTAGGCGAGTAGGCGTTAAGGTAGGTTAGGATTAAGATGCTCGTATTAGCGACGCTTCTAAATCTACGGTATTCGATGTCGTCGCCTTATCGGGGCGGTCGACGCCTTCGGAATCGAAGACCTAATAAGGCACTAAGATATACGCCTAGCTCGTATAGCCTAGACGACGCCCCCTACGACTAATACGTTATTAAACGTCACTAAGATCGAAGTTAATTAGGAACCTCTATAGTACGACGCGGCTAATGTTAGGGATATTAACACCTATCCTAAGAGACGTCGTCGTAACTATAATACGGATAGGAGATGTATCACTAAGGAACATCTTATACCGGCGACGCTAGTCCTATTTAGATACCGACGAGGTATACTCCTAGATTACGTTACCGACGAACCGTTCTTTATCTACGGGATCGAAATAGTACCGCTCGCCTAGCGGACCTCCGACGGTCTACTATATAAGAACTAGACGTAAGTAATCCGTTACCCTACGGATGTTAGATTTACTATCTATAAATAGTATCGTCTTAGGAATAGCGAGCGGTGTTACCGTACCGCCGTTAACACCGTCTAAGACAACGAAGAAAAGTGTCTCGGGGTTAGTAATCTAGTTACGAGGTAATAGGCGAATATATATCGAGATGTCCGCGCGGTTAATAGATATACGGATGACCTCGGTTTAGTAGTCGAGGCGCCTAACCTAATAGATGCCGGACTTACTTAAGATAGTACGCTTAGTATCTATGTCGACGGTAGTAGAGCATACAAACTATATAACGTTAGTTAGTACTAGGGATCTAAGCTCCCCGAGTATTATAACCTTAGGACGGAAGTCGCGCTACTATCGAATGATATAGGCCTCGTTAATCGTAACGAGACCGATCTACGTGTTGAATTCTTTAATTCGTAAGGTCTACCGGAACGAAGCGCTCGAGGCCTACTCCGGACCGAGTAGGATATAGGTGTATTTACACTAGGCGACCTTAGAGAGGATATTATCTTCTTATTATCGAGTACGCGTATTAAGGAGGAGGGGGGCGGTACCTTCGATCCTCGCGATATCGGTAACCTATTCCTAACCGAGCTTAGTAAGAGGGATGATCTAGAGGGTGATCTTCTCCGTAAGGACGGAGTAGATATAGAATATTACACTCTTACCCTAACCGGTCTTCGCGATTAAGAGGGTGTCCCCCTATATAAAGATCAAGCGTCGAAGAACGCGGACTTATTTAGTATACGGTTAGTAACTAAGGACGCGAAGGAGGGCGGCCTCGAGTATAGGACTCTAAAAGTCGACGTTATTAACGTAGCGGTAGCTCTTAATTAGGGCTCGTAGCGATATAAGCGGTATCGTAGGTATACGTAGGATAAGTTGTACGACGGCGAGACCCGTTAGATCGCGGATACGCCTAACGATCTTCCCTCTCTTAGACGTAGTCTTCCTACTATCTACGGCGCCTAGCTTCTTCTTCGCCTTCGGTAGTCTCCTCGGTCGTAAAGGTATTCGAGCGCTAGGAGTTTTAAGAAGTTTTAATAGTATCGTCTCGTCGCGGTTACTACTACGAAGATTAAGTAATACCGGGAGTTTTAAGGAGTTACGAGGAGTTCTATCGCAGTTACTACTACGGAGATTAAGTAATACCGGGAGTTTTAAGGAGTTACGAGGAGTTCCGTCGCGGTTGCTACCGCGAAGATCGAGTGATACTAGGAGTTTTAAGGAGTTACGAGGAGTTCCGTCGCGGTTACCGCTACGACGATTAGGTGCTACCGGGAGTTTTAAGGAGTTTTAGGGACTTCTATCGTAGTTACTACCGCGACAACTAAGTGATACTAGGAGTTTTAGGAGTTGTTACGTGTTAGCTCGGTCGCGTAGTAGCTACCCGGGAGTTTTAAGGTATTATAAGGAGTTTTAGCGAAAGCGCCCTCTACGATTAGACGCGTTTTCTCTATTAGTTAGAGACGAGGCGCTACTAATAGTAGCGCTTCGCGTAGTAGTATATAGCGCGGTACGAAAAGGTAGTATTAAGGAAGGATTTGGAGGCGTAGTAGGCGTATATACGTTTCTATAAAAGACATAGTTTTGTACGCTATAACTCCGGCCGACGAGACGCGATAGCGATAATTTTAGACACGTAATAGAAAGCGCTTCTTTCGCGCTAGATGATAGCCTAGGAGCTACCGTGTGAATCGATAGTAGTGTTAAGTAGTAGTTGCTTAAAGGTGACTAGAGTCGTAAATTTAGTACTATATCTACTAAGGTAGGAACTATTATCGCTTAGACGCTCCGCTAAGAGGATATGACATAATATAAGCGCTTTGTTCTAATTGGCCCGGCAATTCTTAGCAGTTCCACTACGGGGTCTTAGCCGAAAAGCGGATAGCGTCTGAGTTTACTGAGATAATTGGGACAGATACTTGAGACTTCGCCAGTACTCTGTCCCAATTTTAATCTTCCCTCGAGAGACAGACAGCCCTGAAGTGTTCCACGCAGACAACAACCTGGAGGTGTTCAAGTTTGACCTCATCTCTGTCGCCACCACACGAGACCACAATCAACAGATACGAGGACCTTTCCATCTCGCTCCGCATCGCAAACTCTGGCCTTTGCCGGTGAGAGCAAACGGACGAAACTTTACAAGCCAACACGAAGGATGCGAGCTGCTTATGCGCCCCGTGCTATATTTACACGCAGCACAACACTGCCGCCCTGCAGGCTGAGCCCAGTACCCCGGTCCTCCCCTGCTTGCCTGCCTCAACCGCGTGGTCGAAGGCCATGTATTATTATCATCATCACCACTGCGGCCCATTGCCTGATCATTGCAAGCGATACATGTCGGGAACTCGGGCCTCACTCAAAACGCGAGCTAAGGTACTACACGTACAGTGTACATGTGGGTTGGTGACCCAGCACACAGGCATGAGGAAGTACATGTAGGTATATCATCTCCCACCCATCCCGAATCACTGTCACTCCTGCCGGTAGTTAAAATATCACATCTCCCTTGAGCTACAGTATGCTACTTATGCAGTAGCACCCAACTGGCCCCAATATGATTCCACTTCCCGGTTATATTCGTCTGTTATACTTTGGC